GTTGTTGTCTGATTCTGAAGTCGCTAAATATCTAATGAATGTATAAAGCATGGATGCAAACATAAAATAAAATTGATTGACAAAGACAGATGCTGCATGTTCAAGAGAAGAAAACCTCCCCCATGCATTATTGATTTCAATACGAGAAAGAATAATGCATGGGTTATCGTACTTGGCTTCATCCCCTCAGTTATCCCCCTTGTAAGAACATAATCTGGTTGTGTGGGACAAAATGTAAAATGGAAACATAGTCAACCTTCCATGTCTGGGCTCTGTATGTGTGAATTCAAACAACCACAGGTTGAAAATCATCAGAAAAAAATAACTGCCCCTGTAAAGAGCATATACAGAATTTTCTTGTTAGTACTCCCTTAACAATTCAGTATAACACCTACTTACATAGCATTTTTTGAGAAAGGGTCTCTGTAGCTCAGGCTGGACTTGAATTCATGACATAGCCCAAGCTGGCCTCAAACTTGAGGTGATCCTCCTGCCTCAGCCTCTCCAGTGCCGGGATTATAGGCAAGTGCCACCATGCCCGGCTTACATAGCATTTAGATTGTATCAGGTAATACAAGTAATCTAGGAGTGATTTAATGCTTAAGGGAGGCTGTGCCTATGTTATACACAAATGCTACATACATCATTTTATATAACAGACTTGAACATCACTAGATTTTAATATCTGCAGGGGGTCCTGGACCCATTTCCTCTGGACATGGAGGGATGACTGCTGTACTTTCTTATCATCAGTTTACAAAGAATAAAAGATCCTTTTCTATCCAGGTGGCTAATTTAAGAAATTTAAGATTCCTTACTGTTACTTCTGCTATACTAAAAATGTCCTTCAGGGAAGATGAGAGCCTTGAATGGAGGTGTATGCCTATAATCGCAGCACTCAGCACACTGAGGGAGGAGGATCTCTGAGAGCTAGAGGCCAGCATGTGCTATGCAGTGAGTTCAAGGCCAACCTGAACTCCATAGCAACACCCTGTCCCCCCAAAATATAAATAAAAAGATTAAGAATTACCATCCCAGTTTATAAGTGGAAAAAGTGAAGTAGGAACATCAATATCTCATATGCAAAGGCAACTGCATAGCCCTCCTTACAGGGAAAAATCATACTTCACTATTCACTGTGCGCAGCCAGAGGAGAAACACATACAGCAGCTCCTCACTGGACCTAGGTTTCCCTGAACAACACCTGTGGAAAATTCTCAAAGGCACATAAATCTCTAAAATGGGTGCCTTCAGAGAGTGAGCAGATGTCACATAGGTGGTTTTGTTCTCAGAAGCAAAACCAATCTATCTGCTGATGATCATAGATTCATATTCATTTTTTCTCCTGAAATAGCAGAGGTGTTCCTTCAAATCATATAACCAAATGGCTGCAGTCCAAAGAATGAAGTATGCAAGAGATCATACAGATAACAGTGACCCGTGGTACAGTGTAGATAAGGCAAAGGCATAGCTCATGCTACACACACACGCATATGCACGTGCAAGTGGAGAGAGCTGAACCGTAAAATAAATGAGGAAGCAGCACATCATGATCTGAAGAGAAAGCCCACTAGTGTCAGATCTGCACTTAAATTCTATGTCCTGCCCAAGGTCTCTGCCTCAGGTTCATTTTCTATCGCATGGGACTAATCATAACCACATCACAGGACTGTCACAGAGATCAAATAAGATGGTCTACACAGTAATACTTAGCACAGTGCAGACACATGGGAGACAATCAGCATCAGCAACTCCTTTTTCCCTTTGCCTGTGTGTTTCTGAAAGTTTTTTTTCAATTTCACTGACTTAAAGGGGAATTCTTATAGCAGCTTAAAAAAAACCAGTTTCTACACATTATATAGTCATTTACACATATGTATCTGCTGCTGCACCATAATTTGCAAAGAAAAAAGAAGTAGTAATTTTAGGAGAAAAGTACCAGTTCACTTGCACTGCTTTATAAAGCCTTTAGCTTTATGGTCTACAGAGACTATTTTCTCTAGGGGTGCAGATCCTGAAATAAAGGAAAATTTCTCTTGGGAAAAAAATGGCTCCCAAAAAAAGCCAACAAAGGGAAGATAATGAGGGGAAGCCTAGGGGTATATATAAGGGAGTTTATTTTACTTTATAAAGTAAAAGTCAAGCAAAATGAATAATCTGCCTCCAGAAATGGTTATTTAAAGGCTTTCTGTAAAGGGCTTTGGTTCCTAAAAAGACAGGAGTCACTGCACATGCCCACCCACTCTTCATTTATTTTTAAACCCTAGCTTATATGTTCCTTAGCAACAGGAGGAGCAGATGAGACCCCCCCCTACACACACACATGCACACGCACACACGCCCTTTCTCCCAAAGCCCCCTTCTTCTTCCCCATCCAATTTCATTCTGCAAATATCGCAGTTCTTCCTAAGATACTTTTGAACTACCTGCAGATCTCCATTCCCCACCTCAGATGATCCCTCCTACTCTAGCCGCATGCCTCTGTATAGACCATTCCATCTACACAGGCCTTCCTGACTCGGCACCACTAACTCCCACCAGCCCCCATCCTCAGCTGCCCCAGAAGCGAAGCAGCGTGGTCTCCACGGAAAAGCCAACACCCGAGACCAGCCCAAACTGTGCTTTCCTTAAGATCTGTCCTGAGTCCCCAGCCTAACTGTCAAGTCTGGCTGCATCCCTCTGAGTCTAGTGCAAACAAACACCTCAGCAGGTAGGCAAGCCATTCACCGTGGCTCCAAAAAAATAACAGGTAAATACAGGGATGAAAACCCACACGTTATCAGGACAAACACGTGCCAGACAAGATCTCCTACCGCCTCACTGTCTTTAGAATTGCCTGGCTCTGTTTATCGGAAAAGGGTTTATGAGCTCAAAGATCAATTGTTTAGCCTCTAGGGAAAAACAGGGCCAAACTCCTCAGATGTTAGTGTGTTTAAGCATCACCTGAGGAGCCTGATAAAAACTTCCACCCACTGAGAGTTTGACGCCTGTAAGTCTGCGGCAGTGGGCATCTTCACCACCACCTGAAAGGATTCGGATGCAGGTGTTTCACTGAATTGGGGACTGTGAGAGTTTGCGTGGAAAGAAATGAAGTCCAAGAAGCAGAATTACTCCTATGGATTTTAAGATGGATGCAGTATTATTTATTATTCTTCTCTAGAGAAACACTGCTGGTAGCCCTCTCTAGGTATTTACATACACACAAGTGCCTATGAAAGCAGACAACACAGAAAGCCACAGCCCTGCCCAGTACAAATTTCTAGGAGAGAGGAAATGAGAATGACCCTGCCAAGGGGCAAGCTGAAATGATTTTCCTTGCAAATTCTGGCTTTGCATCCCTGCCCAGTGAAGAGTGTGATGAATACCAACAACACAAGAGCCTCTCAGTTCAGAAGCCGGGAGCCCAGACCCACAATGTGCTTCACAGCATCACACCCCAGGTCCCCAGGACAAAGCTCCTCAATTAGGCTGAACGCAGTCCCTGTCTGCCTAAGGGCCAGCCCACGGCACCTAGGAAGTAGAACTGCCTGTGCCCTAGCATACTTCCCTGGAGATGCTCGCTCTCTACCGCCTGCCTATTTTTAGAAACCTAAAATATAAAAAGAAACATCCATTTGGATAGATCTATATGAGTAACTAAGAGAACAACTCAGGTGGGAAATTCCCTCCTCACACATTCCATGCTCACAAGGAATGCAGGAAGCAACACCTCACCAGCAAGACCATTTAGGAATCGTCAGAAGCCAATGCTTAGACGCAGAGCTCATGGCCCGGCTCATGCCGGGCCCTCCAGTCCAGGCAATGCCGGTGGGGATCCCAGTGATTCACACACCTGCCCCCATGAATCCAGCACACCCTCACAAGCCCACACGCTTCTGTCATCTGCCTTTGCTTACATAACAGCACATGGTGTGACTGGCATAATACTTTAGACCGTTTTCTTTAAGGGACTGCTAACTTCAGAAGAAGCAGGGTTACAAGAATGCTTTCACTGGCCCCCTTTCGAGCAACGCTCTGGTCCCCAGAGAGTGAAAATCTTCATAAACCTGTGCTTGCTTATCACCTGGAGTTTTAAAATCAGCATTCAGGAAGGGTACTCAGCGTTTTTCTTGCTGCTTGAGGATGCGGGTAGGACGTGGAGAACCTAATGAATTCTCAGGATTTCTCATGTTTGGGCCTCACTCGATTTGGGTTTAGCTTTTATCCTAATTTGGTAGCCATGTACTTCACACTGTCCTTGTCTCACAAACATATCCATCCTCAGGTGCAAGGACGGCCCCTGCTTACCCTCACCCCAGCTCACCAGCAAGCTCCCCACATCATCCTCTGGGCACAGTGGGGAAAGCAGAAGAGAGGGAGTGGGGAGAGCACGTGCGTGTAACCTGCACACCCACACAACGCCATGTCCAACTCTTCCTGAATAGGGGACTTCCGTGCTGGTCCAACCTCCACAGGGATTTCTCCCCGGGGTAAGGCAGTTCTTTCCTACCTCTCGGAATGATCGCAGGTATTAAGTCAGTGCCAAAGGTTCGCTCAGTGAAATGAGAAAGGTAGGGGGAGTGGCTAAAATGACCCTGCTTTAGGGGCAACTTTGACGACTTTTCTCAAGAAAACTAGGCATTTTTATTGTTTCCTCACTCAGGGACCCAGGCTCCCGTCCTGTTACAAATCCATCCGTCCTTAGGTGTTAAGGGGGTATCCAGGCGCAGTTAGCTTCCTTCCAGAGCATAAGGGTGGGATGCTGATGTTCTCCAGCCCAGAACAACACAGAAGGAGGAAGGAGAGAGAGGAAGACTGAGACTGTAAGAAAGAGAAGAGCGAGAAGGAAGAAAAAGAGAGAGGGGTAGAAAGTGAGGAAGGCAGAGAGAGGAGAGAGGGAGAGAGACAGAAGGAATAGGAGAGGTGCAACTCGGAACAAGCACAGCAAGCAGCTCTTGGAGGAGGAGAGCGGATCCCCGCCCCGGGTGGCACCTGTCTCCGCACCTGGCTTCCACGCCTACCTGTAAGAGACCTGCTTCCGGAAAGTTAAGTTCCTCAGCTTCTCCTCCAGCGCCTCGTCCTTGTCTCCCCTCGAGCCTGCAGCCGCGGACTCCTCCAGAGCGGCTGCCCCCGCCGCTGCCCCTGCGCCCCGCAGGTCCGCGCCGCCCTCGGCGCCCAGGCAGCAGCTCCCGGCGCCGCCCGGTGCCCCCTGGTCCTCCCCTGCCGCAGCGGAGCTGGGGTTCATGGCGAGCGAAAGCGGGCGGCCGCGCGGGGAGCCGGGGTGAGGCGCGGGCTGCCGGGGAGCGCGGGCAGGTCCGCGAGCGGCTGGCGGGGCGGCAAATGGCAGCGCCTTCCCGCAGCATCCATCCGCGGCCGCACCGCGCTGGGGCATTGTGGGAAACTCCGAGCCCCGCGCCCCAGCCGACCAATCACAGCCCGCCTCCCTCCGCCCGCCCCGCCCGCAAGGCGCCCAGCCCCGCCCCCGGCCTCTCCCTGCACCCGGAGCTGCCCCGGGCTGAGCTGAGCTCTGCGGGAGGCGGTGGCTCCGGGACAGAGCGCGCCGAGCCTCCAGAGCGCACGAGCGAGCGACCGGGTGTCTGCGCCCGCGCGGCCTCCAGCCCCGTCTCCCCTGCCCCGGCAGCGTTGTCTCCGCTGGTCTCGGGATGCAGAGCTAGGGCCAGGCAGACACTGTCAGGCATAGGAAACCTTTGGGGGTTGTACCAGAGCACGGACGGGGGCAACCTTGGAGAGAATTCGTTTGCACGGTGAACCAAGGGGAGAGGGGCCCAAGTGCAGGCTTCTGCTGCTTCTCTGCAGAAGAAGAGTGGGGGTGCTTCCTCCTCAAATGCCCCGCCCCGGGTGCTTTCCAAACACAGAGTGGGCGCTCGCTAAACTGCTGCTAATTTGATTGACTCGATCACAGGGTCCTGGGTGAAGCTCAAAGGCTCACAGCACTCAGAAACAGCACTCAGAAGTCTGGGCGCCGGCCCTCTCGCTGCTGCGCTGTGGGCCGGGAGGAGAGGACGGCGCCCTCCAGAGGGGCTACCCGGCTCTTAGGAGCCTGCCAGAAGCAACCGAGCAGGAGCCTCTGCAGAATCTAACAACGACCAGCCCCGCGGTTTTGTTTCTGAGATTATCAAGAACTGTTTGAACGATGTACTGCAAAACGTTTAAAACAGATCATTTTCTAAATTACGGGTTTCCATCCAAGAAATAGCTGCTGTCACCAAACACATGAAAAATCTATACTCCCAAATAGGTGCTTAAAACCAACTATATTCGTATATTTACGTGGTGGTAAAAGAACCTGACCGCTAAAGAGTTTCAGGATGGCTGCTGTACAGCCAGAGCAAGTCATTGGATTTCTCTTCTTTTACTGTCTCATGACAAAAATTGGGCAATGGATTGAGGCTCAAACCTCTTCCTTCCAAGCCTCTTCCTTTCAGAACCCGGTTCTGAAATTCTCTTCCAATGTACATCTCCATAACACAAAGGTAAGGTCACATCTAGGTAGGTGTAAGGAAAGATAATAAAAATAAAAAATGGCTAGCAGTTGGTAAGCCCTTGATTTTACATTAATATTGTGCTAAGCACTCCACACACCCACCTCTGTATGTTTTCACATCCCCTCAAGTGTGAATAACTCACTTAGGCATGGGTAACCTCAAAGAGGCAAAACCAGGAACCACACCAAAGCCACGTGGTGAGGACCTTTGCACTCCCTGGGGTGCAATGCACCCCGTCTTCTGAGGAGACCCTTAGCTACTTTAACAGCAAGTGCCGCACACACCCAGTGTATTCCAAGGCCAAGCCAATGTCACAGTAGAACTTTTGAAGATGTCACTTGAAAGAGTGAGGGAGAGCTATGTGTACCATCTTCTACAAACTGATACCTGAGCTCCTCACCAAAGCCTGTGAGGCTTACCTCGTCTCTTCTGCGATTCTTCCCCCTTCTCCTGTGGCTCTACTGACTGGTTCTCACACTTGCTAAGTGCCTCTGGAACTTTGCTGTTGCAACCCTACTGCCGTTCCCAAACTTCCTCAGCTCACTCCACCCTAGTGTCTCAGTAATTCTTTCTCTGAGCCAACATTTATGAAAATAGACTGTAGCATATATGTTTATTAGGTAGCTGGGTGCTAGTAGTTCAACAAATATTTATGTCTTACAACTTTAGTCACTGTTTGAAGAAAACAGACAAGTAAATCAAAAGAGAAAGTACTGCGGATATTTCATGTTTCAATAGCTCAATGACTAGTTCATGAGCTAATAAGGGGCAACTTCTTAAGCCTTAGAATCATATCGGAATCATCACCCTCATTTCCTGTTCCACAATGATTTCCTCCTCATATTGCTTGTTATCTGAGCAACCACTAAAACCCCAGTTTTTGTAAACATAATGTTATTCAAAGAATGTAGTGCGAGCTAGCGTGAAACTGACAGCTACCCCTAGCTAGTGGTATACTAGTAGAATGGTATCTAACAGATGCTGAATGTCATTAAATTTCCATCAAAGGTTTAATTTATCTGGTAGTGCTTGTGTGAGCTAGAAAACCTCTGTGCACAGTTCAGGAACTACAGGTCTATCCCCAAATATTTGCATAGTGTTTATTTTGCCTGAGTTCCCTGATTAACAGATCTTGAAACTAAGCTTAAAAACCAACACGTAAGGGACATTGTAAGTCCAGGACTCAAGATTGAAGAGATATAAGTATATTAGTCTGTTCTGCATTACTATAATGAAACACCTGAGGCAGGCTAATTTTATAAAGAAAAGAAATGCTCAGCTCACAGTTCAGGAGGTTGAATGGCATCAGCATCAGCTTGTTTCAAGTAAGAACCTCACCGTCAATCACACCACAGCAATGGGAACACATACAGGAGGGACGGATCACATCACCAGACAGGAAGACAGAGAGACCCCATCTCACAGTTCCTCTTGAGGGTATGCCGCCAGTGACCTAAGGACTTCTCATTAGCATCTACCTCCTAAAAGATTCACTGCCTCCTACCACTACACTGGAGAACAAGCCAGGAATACATGAACCTTTTAGGGGTCAAAGGACATGCAAACCTTAGCAAGAAGTAAAGCAGAAAAGACAGGAAAGTAAATTCAGGGTGGAGAGTTATGATGTGGCTATATACCTGCTCACTTGGTCATCAGAACTTCTCCTAGATGGCACTTGCATCGTCACTGTACCTAGGAGCACTCTGTCAGCAGGAGAGAGAGGAGTTTATCCACCAGTGCTTCCTGTTTCCTGTCTCAGTTGCTGAGTGGGTCTCTGAGGGAAGGAGAATGGCAGACTCTAGGGACCCCAGGCCTCCTGCTGCACAGCAGGAGGCCTCATTCCTTCCTGGAAGTGGTGGGAGGAACCTCAAAGAGTAGAAATGGATGGAACCTGAGAGCACAGAAGGTCTGCTGTCTGAACCATCTCACTGGTGGCTGGGCGGGAGTCTAGCCCTCCCCAGGGGAGGCTGTGATCACTGGCACAGGCAGGATGAAAGCAGTAGCAATGGTGGCCAGGGCTCTTCAGTGAACAAGCAAAAAAACAAGGCTATGGTGGTTAGATGTGGCCAAGCCATTTTTGGAAGGCACAAAACTAGATCTGGTACACTGGGCTTCCTCTCATCTTTTAGGTCTTACTTCATGTGTCATCTTTTCAGAGAAGCCTCCCTGGAACTCTCCTTGCTCCCCTTCCCAGCCATTAGCTGATGTAACCTAGAAGAATGAGCAGAGAGCCAGTTGGGCAAGAGCTGGGATTATAAATTCTCCAGCCAATAAGGGAAAAAAAGATCCACATGTGGACTTGTGTTGAACCCAGAGCTGCAGATTCTCAGGCTTAGATCATCCCCATAGAAAATACAAAGGAACTGTGGCAGCCTGTCAAATCCGAATGGAGAAAAAAATCTTCTAAGCTCCACTGACAGGTTCTTTCCTATGGGCAATCTCTAAGTTAGAGTTGATTAAAAATAGAATCATGTTCCAAGAGGGAATAGGTCTTTTAGGTCATCCAGTCTAGGCTCCCATGCATGTACGGACCTCCCACAGTATTTCTTCACAGGATTGATTTTAACCATGGTCAGTTGAAGTTAGAAAGGAGTTACTACTGTCTGAGACAAAACCACCATCTCAATAGACTCTGTCATGACATCCTCCCCATCTTTCATCCTTATTCCTTACGCTAACTGCTGATACACATGCACAAATAATGTAATCCCCTGTTTCTGTACTTTAGCAGCTGATTGGGGGCCCAAATGGAAGGAATTGAGACCAAGGATATAGCTCAGTGGCACAGCACCTGCCTACTAAGCTCAAGGTCCTGAGTTCGATTCCCAGTACCAAAAACAAGAGAAGGAATTAACATTTATTTCCATTAAAGTTATTCTTTTTGTTTTCTGACCATCATTTGCCATCCAAATGTCTTTGGATCTGAAGTCTGCCATTCACTGCATTTACTGTCCTGATTGTTTACTTATCAAAATCGAGCCCAGAGTGACATATACTCAATGATGTCACTGATACATTTCTTCTTGAAAAGGATAAGATGGTGATCAGAATGTGCGGCGTATCCTTAGGAACCACGATCCTGCCCATCCAGGTTGACAGTCATTTGTTTCACAGGCGACCACTAAATGTGCACACGGGATACACACTGTTGTAGACAGTAGAAAAAAGAACAATAAAGACTTTTTTTCTTGGTGTTAAACATTCTCCATTAATGAGCAACTTTTGTGTATAAAAATCCATAGTTCTTGTGAATACACATTTCTCTGTGTACAAAATTTGGTGAAAGACTATATTCTGTATTCTATTTCTGTTGTACATTCCTGAATCATCAGGCAAAAAAACCCTAGCAAGTACATGAGGCTAATCTAATGTGACTTTTTAACTAACCCATCCTAATTTTAGAGTGATCATTAGTTGACCTTTTAAGAATATTACAAAAATTTCTTGAGCCTCTTCTACATGAATGCTAGGCTAATGCTCAGGGTTCAAAACTGAATATAGTTTAACGGCTTCTCTGAAGGAGTTTGCCATTTAACTGTAATAAATAAAAATCATTTCTTTCCTTTTCCATTTGAAGTACTAAGAATCTTATAATAAGCACCATGATCTTTCTGGACACAGAGATGTGTAAGATAAAACACTCTCTGTCCCAAACCACTGTGAAGCCAACTGTGACTACATGACCTGATCTGAACGTTGAGACCAAAGCCAAATAGTCAGATGAGGCTTCTGGGGAAGTATTTGATTAGTACATAAAGATAATATGCCCCTCCAGTCCTTTGTTCCTCTCCTTTCTTCACGCTTAGAGAGCTCGCTCAATACCTCGAGGTGTAATAGCCATCTTGTAACCATGAAAACAAA